AAAGGGGGAGGCGGGACGAAAAAAATCTACACGAGTCCAGGTCGTAGAGCTAGGCTACAGGTCGATGACTTGTGCGTGGAGAGGACAGCTCTTTTGCGTTATTCCCCTGCAGCCGCTCCTTCATTTCCTCTTCGGATTCCCTGGTACGATCTAAGTGCCGCGGTGTTTCCCGATTCGTAATTTCCCCCCCCCTCCCCTCTCACGAGCTTCGCTCCCGGCCGGCCTCTCCATGCTCCCTCCGACGAAGTCCGTACGTCATCGTCTGGACGGGTGGGGGGTGGGTGGTGTCGGGTCAGCAGTCGTCGTCGTCTTCGTCAGTCGTCAGTCGCAGCTCGAGCGTGGAAGCGGACCTGGAAGTAACGCAAGGGTGCACCTCTGCAGCAGCTGAAGTATCACGGATTCAGGTACAGGGGATCCGCTCCCAGGCGCTTGGTCTGTCGTTCCGTCACCACCATTCGTTGTGCAGACCACATGCCCTTTTTGTTGTTTTAATTTGTAGAACATGGAGCTTACTCAGCTGCCGGTCGACGTGCTGGTGATGGCGATGCAGTTCCTGGACGTGCCGTCCCTCTTCGCCTGCCGCCTCGTGTGCAAGCGGCTCGCCGACCTGGCCCTGCGCGCCGACGTGTGGCGCCACCAAGGCTTCCGCGGCGGCCGGGACGCCGACGGCACGCCGTGCGCTTGCGCCGTGCTGCGCCTGGCGCCCTGCCTGCGCGTGCTCGGCTTGAGGCTGCCGATCAGAGGTTGCCGCCGGGCGTATGCCTCGACCAGCTGCGCCGCGGAGGTGTTGACCCTCCAGGTGGCGGAGGGCCGCACCGCCCTCCAAGCAGCGCAACAGCTGATCCGCTCGCAGGAGGCGCTGGGCCGGCTCAGGGGCATTCGCCTCGTGTTCGACGGGGTGCTGGCTCCCACCGAGGCGTCTGCGTTGCTGGAGACGGTTGCGCTGACGACCGGCTTGACGACGCTCGACATGCTTCCGAGCTACGAGTGCGAGCCCCCGCCGGTGGCCGTCCCCAGCAGCACGTCGTCGTCGTCCATCAAGCGCTTCCGGTGTGAGCTCCGGCGTGGGACGCTGGACTTTGCGAACTTCGTCCTGGCCGCACACTCAGCCACGCTCGAGAAGGTTGAGTTTTATACGGTCAGCTTCCTCAAACGCTTGACCTCGAACCTGCTGGGCGGCATGCCCAACCTCCGCGAGCTGAAGTGCCCCGCCCTCCCGGGGCTGGAGGCCGTGGCGGCTTGCGAGTCACTCCGCGTCCTGGAGCTCAGGGTGCCGCCTGATCAGCGGTCCGCCGCATCGGCCGCGAAGCTCCTCCAAGCCTCCGTGCAACTCACCGAGTTGCGTCTAAACTACATGTTTCATTTCGGAGGAGCCGACGGCGTCGGCGCGGACCTCGTCCTGGCGCTGGCCTCGTCCGGGCGGTCCCGCGTGCAGGCGCTGACCATCGAGAACTTCGTCGTGTGTTCCGAGGACGAGTACCCCTACCTGCAGCCGCTGATCCGCGCTCTGCCCTCGCTGCCGGCGCTGCAGCGCCTCAAGGTGGACGGCAAACCCCACAGGCTGCTGCGCGCCATCCGCCCCGCCACGGCGCCCGCCCTGCGGAGCGTCGACGTGGGCGCGCTCGCCTACGGCTGCGCGCACGAATGGGTCCACGGGGTCACGGTGAGGACCGTCATGTCGGCGAACCCGTCGCTCCACATGAAGTTTGCGGCGAGCGAGGCCGTGTGTCGGGATATCTACGCGTGCAGCGTGTGCAACGCGTGTGCGCGGGGCTGTCACCGGGAGCTCTTGGAGTGCGTCGCGTCGGAACATGGAGCTGACGGTTACAATCTTGGCCTCTTCTCTCACGAACCCACGGCGGACTGTTCGCATAGACACTTTACAGACGACAACTGCCGCTGGGTCCACGTCCCTCAGTCTCGATGAGATTTTGTTCTAGAGAATACGTGCCGACGATTTGTTTTCACTCTACCCACAATGATGGAAATGGAAATGTCTAACTGTCACTTCATTTTGTACTGCATGTACTTATGCCTCACATTAAAAGTTGTGTTTTTAATTCTTATACTTCAGTGTTAGTGTTTTATTCAAAATCTTCAATTTTCAAGTGGCACTCACACGAGTAGAATCGCACTTATTGGAAGTATAAGGGGCTATTGTTAATAGCGCAGATGGATTTGAGAACAGAGGATTTCCTACATAGTACGAGCCACGGTGGTACGAGCGAAAAGTGATGCGGACTTAACAGACCGAACATAATGTTTGTCATGGAAAAACCAACACGGCAAGCTAGAGCGGCAAATTTTCTGCGAGATGCAGTAGTTTATCACATATTATAGGAAATTTTGGGGTTTGAGGGAGGGGTGGTGGTAGTCAAAACGGATAGCTTTTTATAAGACTCGTTGTTTCTCATTTGACTTGTTTCTTTGGTTTAAACAATTGGCGCGAAAGAGAAAACTGGAAAGAAGACCACGCAGCAGGCCGGCCCAACGTTTCGCACCATCTGGAGGGGGATCACGGAGCTCCTCTGCGCCTTCTAAAAAACAGGGTGAGGGGGTTTGAGGGGGGGGGGAGCAATTAGAAGGCGCTTCCGGGGAGCTCCGGAATACCCCTCCAGGAAGCTTCAGTCTCGGCAGCGCACCTTTGGAGTACCTAATTCTTCAGTTTATTTCGTTTCCCCACGTTTCTTTATTAACTTAAGTTAATCAATTCATGTGTTGTCGTGAATGATTATTTTGTAGCTAAATTCAAAGTACAGCCGTAACAAATGGGATAAAAATTGGAGAATAATATTTATTAATGAGTATGTATTTATCGTTTAAACGATTTTTTTTCTTTCTTTCTGGAGGTTCATGAGAACTACTCCTCCACACTGTTAAAGTCTTACGAAGAAAATGCCAAATCCTTTGTAACACAAAGGATTTGGACGCTTCGTAGGGAGCAAATCCTTCGTAGGTACGAAGTATTTGGCATTTTGCTTCGTACGACTTTAACTGTGCAGTAACCACCCGACTTTCAATTTATTTCGACCTAGAAAACATTATCATTAAGCCTTTTGGGGTGGCAATTGGGTCTTAGGTTTTGTTTTTGGTTTTTGTTTCCCCCGCCCCGGCCTACGACCCGAAAGCTTTCGTGCCGAGGGGAGGAGACGCTCCATCAGCTGGAGCGCCATGACCTGCATGATGGTGGCCAGGTCGGCCGCTGGTGGCTGTAGGGCCCGGTCGCGGCGCCTCGGA